ACGAATTTTATCATCGATTAGTTGTGTTGCGCGATTAAAGCGTCATCCGCCACCGTCATCATCGCTGCCACTTGATTGAAACGGGGGAAGAAAAGAAATACGGCAGAGCGAGCCAGCGCCGCAGGTGAGCAAAGGCTGTTTTCAAAAGGCAGTAACGTCAACTGTTCTAATGACCGATAGCGCAAATGCAAGCTGCGTCTCAATTCGCAGACAGCCTGCGCTTTGTAAAGCGAATAAAGTCATAACATGCAACTTTTGTAAAAACAAATTAACATGACACGGAAGCACCACTGTTATGATGCAGCACCTGAAAAGAAAACAGGTTGGAGCCTTCGATGGCAGTGAAGAGAGCTGATCAGCTGGGTGAGCGACCATGTTTGTTTCGTTTTAAAGGGGAAACGTAACGTTAGTTTCTCAGGTAGCTCATCTGATGCTTTCCTTACCTTGTTAGTAGGTTACAGACAGTGATAAGGTTGGCTACTTATTTTACTTTTAATTTCATTTGAATTAGCTTAAGCAGCGTTTATATTTTCTTTATAAATAAATTAACTTGCAAATTATGAGGGCAAGGCTTTTAAAGTTTAAATCTTCTGGCAAAGATAAAGTAAAGATCCTGCAATTTATGGAAGTAAAGCAGAATAAAATCTAGCAAGATCAGTAATATGTCAATATGCCACATTCCCATGTAAATATCTGTCTTTGGAGAATGTGTTTTTTAGCACCCCTAGTTCTCTCATTTTTATTCCAAATACAATTTATAATTTGAATCACAGGGCTATTTTTATCTCTATGGTTGAGTATTTTCTCAAGTAGCAACTTTAACTGCTATACTTTCCTGTCTTAAAAGGCAGAACTCTTCTAGTCTAAAAAAACCCTCATTTGTTGAAATGGGGGGACGTATTGTTTGAACCCCTTAGGGGCTTTTAAAAACAAAAATGTCCTTTTTTGCGCTTTATGAAACAAAGTAGCCTATATTTTGTGGATGTACAGCTACATTTCTCATGTAAGTTTCCGTAGTTTTAACACAAACATTTATTTTTCATATTGCACCAGTACAGTTAATGAGCAACCTGTACTTGTGTGCTTGTTTGTTCTGTCTTAAATGTTTATTTTGGAATAAAGAGGATAATATAAAAAATATTTTTTGTCCGATTCATCGATTAATCGAAAAAATAATCGGCCGATTCATCGATTTTTAAAATAATCGTTAGTTGCAGCCCTAAGGGGATCATGCATGGCTTTAGAACCTTCTACACCAAATAAAGGCACTGCATTAACGCAGAATGTGAATTTTTATGTAGGACAGAATTGACTCGTTTGGGCTAAGACAATTGCCCCGTTTCTGACCTACAGTATAATTTTACCCCAAGCTTGCTCATTAGTTCCAAACCTATCTAAGAAAAATCAAGTTTTCAAGAAATAGGACATTAAACTAGACTGCTTCTGTACTTTCATAATTACTTTCCTTATATTATTATATATGAATAAATTTAGCAGTAATATCCTTATTTCAAGTCTTCCTTTCTTGCATGCTCCTAAGGTTTTTTATAATAGCTTTCCATAACAGCACTTGGCAATGCAGGGAGTTCTCCTTATTTCTGCATCAGCTTGGACATGTGTTTGCTGCCATGTGGACACCTTGTGTTTGCTTACCTTTGAAAGGGTATGCTTAAACAGGCACCTTCTTGTCTTTTTGTTGTGATGCATTAGGAAAGGGTTTTGGCCGGGTTTATGGCATTTTTAAACGCTGAAAGATGTGGCAGTATACAGAGAAATGGTTCTTGAGCATTCCTCATTACACAGTCAAGATCAGGGGCTGCAACCTGTGGCTTCAGAGACACAAGTGGCTCTTTAGACACACTTTGGCTAAAATGATAAACACCCAATTAACCTCTTAAAATGACATATACTAACATTTAATTGTAGCATTTAATTTTTTGACTAATTGCTTTTTATCTCCAATAAAATAAATGTATTTTTTCCATTTTGGCAAAAATATTGGTCTTTTCAGCATGGTTTTCCGCATATTTTTGCAACCAACTGAGAAAATATTTACTACCTTTTAAAATGTTTTTTTCTTCATTTGAAAAACCTAAAATATGAAATGGAATGCTTGTTAAAAAGGCTAAATCTCCAGTGGTAGATATTTATTTTTTATATTTATTTAGTTTTTAAAAAAAGGTCATATAATGTTTGAGGCTGTTTACAAATGAGTTTTGTTCATTATTGGCCTTAAGTGAGAAATGGTTAATTGGATTGTAAAGGTTACAGAACCCTAATATAAATTGTGTGGCGTAGCCATTAATACAAAGAGGTCTGCTGAGAAGGAAGAAAACAGAAGAAGGAACATTGTCACTCCCTATGTTGCTGGAGTCTCTGGAGTTGGAGGAGGATTTTCAATTAGCACCGGATCCCTGTGCACTTCAAACAAAAACTGGTTCACCCCAAAGACAAGAAACCCAGAATTAAGGCCGACAACGTGGTTTATGCCCTTCGGTGTAGTGAAGAGTGCACAGACCTTTAAATTGGAGAGACAAGCAACCATTACACAGGCACATTGTTCAACACAGGAGGGCCAACTCCTCAGGATAGGACTCAGCTGTTCACCTACACCTGAAGGCTAAAGGACACTCGTTTGAGGACCAGAACGTCCATATTCTTGCAAAGAAGAACAAATGGTATGAGCGAGGGGTTAAGGAAGCCATCGTTATTAACCTGCAGAAACCATCTCTCAACAGAGGATGTTGTCATAGACATAACCTTACACCCACCTACAAAGCAGTTTTAGGAACAATACCAAGATGATTCCCCTCTCACCCTACTCACACTTCAACAAGGCATGCGACCGAAACCATTCTCGATGAGGGAGCTAACAACCCATCAGAATCCCCTAACGACCATTAACACCCCCCAGGTGACCTCCATGGCCAAGCCGGTGGGAGGGATCAGAGCCAACTTTTGTTTCCCCTAAATCTTTGTTACACCTACAGTATATTAATGTCAGTGCTCCCTACAGCTAGTTAGAACCGAAGAAGCCTCTTGGATGAAAGGTGAAACATCTTCCAGAACACTTCACGTTCAGTTCACTGTTCAGACTGAACTTTTTCAGGTGCCGACCATGACCAGGATTACTGAGAATCTTCACAGATACGTTAATGCTCCCCTCCTTCAGCTCCCAAAAAGGTCTTCTTTAGGACTAGGTCTTACGGCTAATAGAATAGAATAGAATAGAATAGTGTCATGATGGGTTTCAGAAAAGCCCAGTATGCAGAACACCACGGAAACAGATGAAAAGTTTAACAAGTTTATTTGAACACAAGCACATGGAGTTCACACAGGAACTGGTTCAGGCCTGGGGGCAGGTTCACTGGAGTCTGTGAGGATGACAGTTCAGTTAGCTTGGAAGCCGATGAGTTTAGATTTGAGAGTTTCTGATTTGTACCTTGAGGAGTCCGGGTTTGGCTTTGAGAGAGGAACTGTTGGGTCCAGAGATTGTTTAGTTCAGCAGAGTTCAGTAACCGTTCAGCGTCTTGCTTCTGACGTGAGAGCAGACCTTGACTTTGAGTTTCCAGCTCTTTGTCCAGAGCGGCATGGGAATCCAGAGGAGAGTCTTCAGGTTTGGCTCAGAGGGCAGGCTCGGCAGGTTAAGCTTATCCAGAGCTTACAAGGGAAACAGGATTCCAAACTGGATAAACACTGCTTTAAACACAAAGGACTAGAGATCACAAACTTGACTTGGGATCCCAACAAATAGAATAGAAAATCGCTTTATTGTCCTAAAATTGGGAAATTCTGGTGTTTAGAGCAGCAAAAACGTTATAGAAAAAAAGTCATACAAATATGGACCTTAGAAAGGTGTATAAGAATAACATAATTGTAAAGAGTGAAAAGAAAAACAATTAAATACTGTGTGTACTACTTAAGTGTACAGTATAAAGAATATAAAAACCGTCCACCTGGGGAATAAATCACCAATAACAGCTGTGGAAATTTTTACAGTAATGGATATGTGAAAATAGCAGCAACATCAGAGATGTGCAGAGAATGAGAGCAGCATGTTATTTAACTGACTAAGGTAGAAACTGTGTAAAGTCATAAATGTAACAACTAATTAAGGTTGTTGGGAACCGTGGTGGTTATAGAGTCTTACAGCTGCTGGGAGGAACAATCTGTGAAAACGCTCCTTGGTGCATTTAGGGTGCAGAAGTCTGCCACTGATGGAGCTCTCCAGTTTTGACCAACAACGACATTAACAACGATGAGTTGTTAATGTCGTTGTTGGTCTGCAGATTAACCAAAAACTGGCCCATGCCTCTGCAATAGGGAGTCGTTAGGGTCGTTATTGGTCTGGCTTAACAGGGCCAATGTTTTGACCACCTGCATGTAGATGAGGATTGAGGTAATAGTGGGAAGGAATCAACTCTTTCGTGGCATCGTAGGTTTTTGAGAGCTGAAACCTGAGTCCACCCCCTCTGTTTAATGTTGGTTTTTCACTCTTAACGTAAATGGCTTCCTTTACACCCCTTTCAAACCACTTGTCCAAGATGTGAACATTCTGGTCCTTAAACAAGTGTCCTTTGTCCTTAAGGTTTAGGTGGATAGCAGAGTCTTGTCCTGAGGAGGTAGCTCTGTGGAGAGGCTGTTTGGTTTCTCCAATATAAGGATCAGAGCAATCCTCGCTGCACTGAAATGCATACACCACTCAGCTCATCTTAGTTTTGGGAGTTTTGTCCTTAGGATACACCAGCCTCTGTCTAAGGGTCTTGTTTGGTTTGAAATGTACTTGGATTTTGTGTTTGGAGAAAATCCTCTTGAGTTTTTTCAGAGACTCAACATATGGGATGGAGATATTATCACTATATCCTTTTAATTCTCTTTTATAGTACAATGAACAGATCCAGTTTTTTTCCAATAAGTGATGTGATATAACACAACAGAAGAAACATGGATAACCTGCAGGTGCAGGTATGTAAACATGTGTCTGTTTATTTGCCCTGCAGCGTCTCAGAAGGAGTCTTCCGCCAGGATTGCTGAGAAGAATTTCATCAACATGGACCACGACTACATCAGCTACAGGCCTGCCCACCATAGAGCCAGGCCCTGTACGGCGAGATCGCTCAGCAAGCATCAAGCCCACTGTGGACAGGTGATCACATCAGCTCTTTAAACGACATGTTACTACTTTGATTTCACCATCTGACTGAATCCTCTTGTTAAAGCAGTGAATATAGGAACAACCCATTGATGATAACCACCTCAAAGAGCCGCTCCATGTCAGCTACCTACACTGCCTCTGGCACTTCCAACCACCTCTACAGCAAACCACTGGGAAGACCAGGTGTGTGAGTAGACAATCCTTGGCTTTTCTGCTCATGTTTTAAATGACTCCATTTAACCTGAGGAACAATCTTTTCCAGGTTTCCCCCCCTCCAATGTGTCACCTCTGGGCTCTCCATCTCCGTCTCCTCCTGTTCAGGGAACTCCTGTCTCCAGCCCTACAATAAAGACGTGTTCAGTGCAGCTTCCTGAGCTGGTGGGGCAACTGACAGAACAGGTTCCTGTGTCTATAGCCCCTAAGAGCCATCACAGAGCCTTAACTCACAGCCAGAGCGCCCCAAGCTCCACCACCATTCACTGGCGGCCTCCATCACTCTGTGGCAGGTAAATGTCAGGCAGTTGTGCTCTACTATAGGGTACTAAATTTAAAAAGTAAGCCGATATGTCTTTGTTCTGTTTTCTAGCTGCGGCAGGCCGTTGAGCAATCGACTAAACAATGGAGTAGAATCAGGCAGCAAAACAGACAGAATACCCCATCCAGGTACTGCTCCACAAACATTGCATGGAAATGACTAAACAGCCAAGATTTAGAACATCACATTTTTGATTCTGTGTGATCCCCAGAAGAGAGAGTTGTAGCTTCCTCAGATTATGACAGCACCTATGACAGCACTTATGAGACCAACCACAGTGACAGCAGCGACTTTGCACAAAACGACGAAGAGGGAGAGGGAGGCAAGAAGCCACCTGAGGTGAGGGATGGCTGTAGGGAGTGCCCGACAGAGGGCATTGTTCTTCACCCTCTACTGCCATCACCAGTGGTAAGCTGTTATAGTGGGTTTAAGAATATTGCAATATTTATAAGGCCTTCAAACATGAAAAGAAAGTAAGAGCTGTCTCTGGCTTTATGTTAACCTGTAAGGACAAGTCAGCGTCTGCCCCGGAGAGTCCAGTCATGCCGGGTCTGGAACCCCTGATGAGTCAACTCAACAACTGGAACTTCCCCATTTTCAGCCTTGTGGAGAAGACTAATGGTAAAACAGGCTGCATCCTCAGCCAGGTAAAATAAATAAATAAAACATGTCTGACAGAATTTAGAAACACCATATATCTAGACTACAGAGCACACCTCACTATAAGCCGCACCGGGCTATAAGACGCTGATATCTATTAAACTCTCCCACCAAATTTGTAGGGGGTGGTCTACATATAGCCCCTGGAGTTGGGACAGAGAAGAATGCTAGCTCCCGTCCGTTAGTTTTTACTCGCAGCAGGAAGAGCTTCTAATGAAAGATGGGGCTTCGTCAGCTCTGCAGGAGTTGAGTCCAGTCCCTTCAAAGTTCGGCAGCTTTAATGAAGCAAATAAATGGCAAAATGTGCTAATTCAGGACAATTGTTCTCCTTCGTGCCTGCTGCTACTATGTTCTTGTGATAAATGAAAATTAACAACTTATTCTTTAATTTCCAATTTTGACTTCCCCCTCTGGTGGTTAAATGAATAGAAAAGTCACACCTTTTTATAAGCCGGATGGTTCAAAGCGTGGGAAAAAGTTGCAGCTTATTGTTGGGAAAATACGGTAGTAACAGAAATAGAAATATCCTTTATTATCATGCAGTGTGTAATTCAGGTGTATCAGTGGCGAAGCATTAGGCAAACAGGTTCACACCTCTAAAAGTCTAGAGTGAATCTGAGCAAAAACAAGAATCTAAAATTAGAAGATAATCAACAGTAAAAGAAAAACCTGCATCACCAATAAGAAATACTGGGCAGTTAAAAAATGGACATTCTCAGATTAAATTAAAGGTGCAACATTTTTGGATGACAAGAAACCTACAAAATGTGCATCTCTGACAAAGAACAATCCATGATTCAGAGAAAAAAAAACAGAGCTAAAAATGTTGCAAATACCAGCAGGGATGTAAAAACAGTTTTTATTATAAACTGGCGTAAATGAATGACACACCGAAGTAAAAGAAATGTCCTCATTTATTGCAACCACAAACAATACTGAATTTATTGGGATCTTATTTGATGACTAACACTGTTAACACTTAATGACTGGATGGAAAATAATACACTATAATTATTGAAAAAAAAAAACTAATCTAAAATGTATGGCTCATATTTGTGTTAATTGCTTTTTTGAACCTCCTTATTCCACAATTAGTGCAAGTCTTTTGAGGTATTTCTTAACAGCTTTACACAGCTGAGAACTGAAGGCTTTTCCAATCGTTCTTTGTAAAATATCTCAATCTCAGCAGGATCATATGGAAAATGGTAATTTATCAGTCCTGTTATAGATTTATTTTATAGATTTTTTAAAAATTAAGGAGCTTTTTCGCTGCAAGAGTAGATGTCTTACAAGAGAAAAGTTGTTGGTTTAATTCGAACATTCCGGGCCCATTCTTGGAGTTTTTAACCTTTTATCTTTCTTTTACTAAAGACTTTCTTGGTTTCCGTATTATATTTCTGTCTCCTATAGGGTATGGGGCCAGAGTCTTTGCAGATTTACATGTAGAAATAAATAATTGTTAAATTAGCATGATCATTAAGACCCGTGAAACTTTACACCTTTCCAAAACGTAGCATTGTCTTACATATTAGTGATATAACAAAGAAATATATCCTTTAATATTAAGGACCTTTTCTCATCATTTTGCATCCATCACGCCGACTTTGTAAAAATGCAAATGCAAAAGTATCCAGTGCTTTAAACTTGCAGATCTGTTTATTATCTTTTAGATTGGATCTTGAATTACTTAAAGCAGTGGTTTCTCATGCTTTCAGCTGTTATTATGTTCTTATTTTTTAGGTTTCCTATCGACTATTTGAAGACACTGGTTTGTTTGAGACATTCAAGATTCCTATTAAAGAGTTTATGAACTACTTTCATGCCTTGGAGAATGGATACAGGGACATACCTTGTGAGTAGGCTATATTTGCATGTACATTAAAAAAACACACAAAAAAGCAAAAAAAAGCAAAACAAGTGTGCCAATATCTTCAGCTGCCACTAGGTGGATCCATTGCTCATATAATAAAATTTCTTCACTTGATATTCTTGACTGACTTGCAATAGGAAGCAGACATAAGCTTGATAATACTTGAACTTTCAACATTTTATTTAAAGTTCAGTAATTAATGCATGAAGCTACATATTCACGCATTGATATCCTTAAAACATTTAATACAAAATCAATGGAAGCCCAAAACAGGCGTTAATTTGTTAAAATATTGAGTGTCCAATTACACTGCAAGAAATTAGATCCCCCTAAACAATACTTACAATGAATCTAATGTCAAGATTTTTAGTTTTTAGTAACTTGTTTTACTCTGCTCACAAGTTATGTTTTTATGTTTACCAAATGTTCTTACTTGGTCTCTTAATCTCTTAAGCCTACTTATATATCTTCTGTCATGTTTTAAGCTATCCAGCTTACTGACTATAGACAGTTTCACAGGTCCTCACTAGTTTGATTCATTAATATTAATCATGACTCATTCCTAGAAGTTATGTTATGTTGTAATGGGCAGGAATATGCTCACTGCCTTCTTTGTCTAAATGAGATTTGGACGTCTGCTTTCAGATCACAACCGAATCCATGCAACTGATGTTCTGCACGCGGTGTGGTACCTCACCACGCAGCCGGTACCGGGCCTGCCCACCCTGCCCATGGAGAATGGGATACACACTGGTGATAGACTTATAGTGTTCCCTCTTCTTTACATTTGCCTTTAACGTCTGCTTTAAGTCAGCCATACCTTTGGTTCTAACAACATCAACACATTTGTTTACATAACCCAGCAGGTTTTAGTGTGTTTTATACCAGTATAAATTGACTCAGGTGTGCCTCATTTAGATTTCCAGCTAGTTTCTTTTTTTTATTTGGATTGAATGTATCAGTTTGATTATTAGTCTCTTTGCAATTGGTGATTTCAGACACGGAAAACAGCGTTACACCTGGAGGGTCAGGGTTCCTGGTGTCCAAGATGAGCTCTAAGCTAGAAGATGGCTATGGCTTCCTGTGCGGTCTGATTCCAGCTCTGGAGCTCATGGCTCTCTATGTTGCTGCTGCCATGCATGATTATGACCACCCGGGAAGAACAAATGCCTTTCTGGTAGCAACAAGTGCACCACAGGTTTGTAAATTATGTGTTCTGGCAGTAAGAGGAGGTTCAGCTAGAAGATCAGTATTAGCAAAGTTCTCCTTTGTAGCGCTCAAACTACAGCTGCAAATTTGGCTTATATTTATTTTACTCATAAAAAAAAAAGAAAATTAAGTTATTCATACTTTGTTCAATCTCAAACCACAGTCTGTGTATTATTTGAAAAGATAGGCTTCCAAAAGGTTATATATAACATCCAGAAGTGTCTTTAGTGATCACAACCGACATGATTTTACGCAAAGGGGCTTTTGTAGGTCTGACTGACATAAACCACAGGTCTATTTTAGCCGGACTAAGCAGTTATAAATTAAACAAATCCGCTTTGGGGGTAAATACAAAAATAAAATCTGTTAATGTCCCGAGGAAACAGTCAGTTTTGGAGTCACACATTACGTATTTAGTAAGCGGGACAGACTTGTGCAAAAACAATGAATGACACATTATAAAATAGAATACTTTACCCATTACAGGAATTCAGGGGGAGAGAAAACTGACAAAGTATGATGTCTGAAGAATAGCCATGTTTAATAATATTTCTTCCTCTCTAACTAATTTATTACAAACATAATACAAGTGAAAACCAAAAATAGTAAAGTAATTACATGAGAATGCTTTAGTCATCAAAAAATGTATTACATATGTCTTAAATGACTAACTCTCGTAAATTTTTATTCTATTGCAATGACATGAAAGACTAGGTAAACTTCTGTAAATCATCAAATGAAAATTGGTAATTTGAAAGTATTTTCTCTTTCTTTGCTGTAGGCTCTTCTTTACAATGACAGGTCGGTGCTGGAAAACCACCACGCTGCAGCAGCCTGGAACCTCTTCATGTCCCAACCAGAGTTTAACTTCCTGGCCAACCTTGAACATGTGGAGTTCAAGCGGTTCCGTTTTCTTGTCATCGAAGCAATCTTGGCCACCGACCTCAAAAAGCACTTTGACTTCCTCGCAGAATTTAATGCAAAGGTAGAATACTGAACTTGTAGTTGTCATCTCACATTATTCTAATCAATAGACAACACGTTATGTCCTCATTTTTGCTCAGGTGGGTGATGAAGGAGTGTCTGGCATTGACTGGACCAATGAAAACGACCGATTGCTGGTGTGCCAGATGTGCATAAAGCTAGCCGATGTCAATGGGCCACTAAAGAATAAGGAGCTACATCTGCAGTGGACAGAAGGGATTGTCAATGAGTTCTATGAACAAGTGAGTTTAAATATACATTTTATATATACATTTTATATATATAATATAATATTTATACTGGCTCCACTTATCATATGGCTTAACTCCAAAATACATTCCTGGCTTGTAAGTGTATAGACGGCCCAGACCTCTCAGGGTCTTCTGGCTCTAATCTGCTTTGCATCCCTACAACCAGAACAAAAGTTATTTTGCGTCACAAATCTTGAACAAATACCCTAGAAAAAAGTAGAAGTGCTGAAACCCTCTGTTGCTTTAGATCAAGATTAGGAATGCATTTTTTAAGAGTTGCCTTTGATTGTGCTGTCTGAATATTATTAGTTAAGTTTCCAGTCTATTTTCATTTTATCTTTTTATTTTATTATTAATAATTTTATGTTTTCTTATATAATCATCTTATGTCAATGATTCAGTTTCATTCTCTTTATATATTTGTGTTGCCTCTGAGCCACTGCAATTTACTTTTTTCATGGCACTTTGATTTTATTTTAACACTGAAATATGTTACATTCTTGCCTTTCCTCGTGATTACATATAAAAAAATTCTACCCAGAGTTTTCCGTTAAATTAATTATCTAAAAATAATCAAGTCTTGGTGACAATTAGGTGACTTTTTGGCCGATGTGAAATAGGCTTGTGTCTTCTTGTTGGTTGGCATTTGGTTTTCTTCTTGGAAATCTGTCTTGGTTGCCAATCTTTAATTGCCAAGTCGTGAACACTGACCCAAAATGAGGAAAGGGATGCTTTCAGTAGTCTCGTGAGACCATCCTGATCTCGCGAGTTTTCAAGATCTCACTCGCTAATCAGTCTGGAGACTCTCCGTTGAAGAAAATTTGGAGCCGTTCACCAAACGAACGTCCAATCAGCGTTGGCTTTGAGGCGGGTTGAGGTGTGACGCAACGAGAAGCGCGAAAGTTCAGTCTAAAGAACATGGCGGCTTCAGCCAATGAAACTAGCGTTAGTGTGGCTATCGAGCAAGTTTTATCGGAATTACAGAGTATTTCTTCACTGAAAGAAGAGCAAAACACTGCTCTGGAGGCTTTTCTCAGAGGAAAATATGTTTTTGCTCTTCTCCCGACTGATTTCGGCAAGAGTTTGATCTATCAATTGGCTCCTCTTCGTCGTCGCTCTGTTACGTCATATGCTTCGTTGATCTGATTGGTTTATTTGGCCCGTCTATCACCAACATAGGCCAATCAGCTAACCAGTATTTTCGCCCCTTCCCAAAATTACTTCTACGGAAGGTTTCCAGATGGATATGCGGAGCAAATCCATCTGGCGGAGTCAGGTTAGGCTTTCAGTGCCTTAGATGTTGTTCTACGTTCTTTTGGGACCTTCTGGATATGCCATCAGTACACTCTTATAGTAATTTGGTTCTTTTCCATTCCTAACAAGGTTCAGTGCTCCATGTTTTCTCTATTTATGATTGATTAATCTCACTTTGGCTCATTGCAGCTTGAAAGTCTTAGAAAGGGGTTAATAAATCCCTTGCCAGACTGAAAGCTGTCGTCGGCTTAAATTCTTTCATGTTCATGATTTTCTTTAGATTAGGGTATAACGTCTTGTTAATTTGATCATATCTAGCCTACTTAATGATGCCAAAGAGTTTCTATTGATGTGGTTTATTTATTCTGTAGTTTTAACATTTCAGACATTCAGCCCTGTTTATGGAAACTGAACTTGAAATTACAATTTGTGATAGGAACAGGTTGGTATGGATAGCTGGTTCCCTTGAGTAAATGATATCCTGATTTTAAAACTACTTTTTGATTAGATTTCTCAGAAAATCTCTAAAATTTAAGTTTGAAAAACAAGCAAAAAACAAGAAATCCAATGTCTATGTTGGACTACACTGTATATAGAAAACATGAAAGCATAAGCTTTTAACTGCTCGGATATATATCTCTAAAGAAAGGATAGATTATAAAGGAAAGTCAATATTTCTTTTCATGCAAGCCGTTCTCCTGCGGGAGATCATGGTTCAAGAGAACTGGAAAACATCTACCTCTGCATATAATGAGGATTTACACTTCCTTTGTGCTTAAGGACACTCCACTAAGGATCTTTTGTGTGTAACTGCATGCATCTGCCGCTGCCTGAAATTGAATATTGAGAACACTTTCTGGCTCATGAATTTATCAATGTAGATGGATGCTTGGCAACAAATCCTTCTTCAAACCACCTGGACCATGAAGATAAGATCTGATTAGTAGGAGCGGTACTGTTATTAAATGTACTCGTTTGGAAGTTTCAAGGAGCTTTCTTTTTATTAATCTATGTATTATTTCCCTCTGTAATTACTGAATTAAAAGAAACTACAAAAATCTGATAACATGCAGGTGTTGATAAAGGCATTTCAGAGGCATATCACAGGGTTACTTTGTCTAACATTAAAGGGGACTTGCATATCGGAAGGAAAAAAAACAGAGTTCAGTGGAGCTCTAATCTTTTGGGGGTACATCAAAAGAGGCAGAGTGCACATTTGGGGTTTTAGTTTTTTTTCTTTTTTTAAGGGGAAAGGATGACCTCAATGCAGGCTCATTGACAGCTCTCTTTCAGAGTGGCTGAGAAAGATCACAGACATTCACACAATTGGGGTCCTAAGATACATTCGTTTTACAACATGCTGTACTGTTCTTTAACATGTTATCACCGATGCAGGCCATCATTATGCATAGATGTAATATATACAATACCCACCCGCATTACACGCCGACACCACACAGGTTTTTGGTTGCCACGGCAATAGGAACCCCCTCCTTTTTGTACAGCTTGCAAGCAGTATCATCAGTGCATCAAACATAAAAGTAGAATTCTGCACCATCGTAAAATTTTCCATAGTGCAAAAGCTACTTTTTGTAATATTTCCTGTTTTTGTTGTGTCGATACAAAGATTTCTTTGGATTGGATTCAAAAATACTTAGTTGATCCCAAAGAGAAATAAGATGCTGCAGTAACTGAAGGAGGAATTTATTTTTCAGTAAATTGTTGCATGTTTTGATAGCTTTAGTAGCCTGTCTTTCACTCAGTCTCGAAAAGCCTTTGACTTCTTTAATAGCCTTCTGATGAGAATACTCACAGTTTTATACCTTAACAGCAGCACCGTCTCCGAAAGATCAGACAGAAGTTATTGGCAATTACTGTTCCTGGGATATGCATTCATTTTTCTTATTAAATACAAAATGAGTAAAAACGAAAGAATGCAAAGCATCTCAAGGACAAGAAACAGATGAAATATTAGGACTACTAAATTATAATCATGTTTCCAAATGTTTAATCTGTTAAGTGGAATAAATGAGGGCAGATAAATTTGTTTATGCCTTCGTTTGTTTTGATCATGTGGGAACAAATGTACAGATTGGAGCCGTCACGGCTGCAGCAAATCTCTTGTCTGTCAGACGGTTTTATTTGCGGGGCTGATACCTACAGATTAGTTCTACTTTGAACTCCTCTTTTTCTATTTGCAGTCATCTTGACCTACTTGCCAGTGACTGTACCCGGAGGCTGTATATCTGGGAATCCAAGTGTTTGACAGCAGTGTTAAAATTATTTCAGAGATAGGTAGAACTTACGCACAGTTGACTGAACAGCCTTTTTTTCTTATCTATTCAATACATTTCATTCCTATCACCAAATTTCCATGTCTCTATGCACTATTGATAAAGGTGTTTGATAAGCCTTAAAATAAATATTTTAATGAAGCAGAGAAAACTAATAACTACCTGCTAGTAATGCACTTCTGAGTACTTCAACTATATTCTGACATCTTGTGTCCTCTGGAATTACACAAGGTTGGAGCTCAGAGATGGAGAGATCATTCCTCTTTGCAGACTCTTAGATCATCTATCTTCCTGGGTCCTCTCTCTTGCACCCTTATTTTTTCAGGTCACATGTTTTTTAAAGGATTTAGGTCTAGGTTGATTTTGTATTTCTGTTATAGTCGCTATACAAATTACTAAAACAAAGTTTTTTGGAACCTTTGAAAAAAGGCCTACTGCATCTTAGATTCCCCACTTTGTCATGAGATACTTCTTCATATATTGATTTTTTCTTTAGAACAAGTTAGAGTATTTATTGCCTAATAGCACCGTTTTAATCTTACTGACTGAAGCAAACAGTCACAGTTATGTTCCAGTGAGTTAATCAAACTCTTCCTGTTACATGTCTAATGGTAAGACACAAATAGCCTTTCCTACCTCTCAAGCAATATTGCTGCCTTTTCTTGACTTATGGGGATTATCAAATATCTCACTTACATGAATGTCTTTTCTCTCTCCTTCTATGGATTATTTTTAAATACCTTTTCAGATATACTCAGTAAATTATTTTATTAATTATATGTGTCAAGTTTATAATTTTACTAGATAATCAGAAATAAACATATTACTCAATTATTCATTTCTGACTGAAAAAGTGTGAAAGTGTCTCTGGTTTTAAGCCTCAGCAGTGGTCATAATGAGTTAAGAAGTGCTACAGTATCTACATTTCTGTGGGGTCTTTGAGGTCTATTTCTCTCTCTTTAACAAAAGCTGACATTATGATACTGCAACAAAATTTAAATAGATTTTAAGACTATCCATACACGTTTAAAAAGGCCTGGCAAAAAAAAAAAAAACGGTGGATATTGCTCTGTTCTGCTTTTTTATGCATTATTGGCATTTTTTTTATATAAAAAGTGGGGGGAAAACTCATTTTTGAGTTTGAAGTTAAAATGAAACCTGTTCACTCTGTAAAAGATTTGCCATAAATCTGTTTTTTTTTTTTTTTTTTTTTTTTTTATTTCAGTATAACTGTGCTGTGTGGTATATTAAACTTTCAAATAACACGTATTAAGTTGATTAAACCAATAAACATCTTGGCTCTAAATACTGTTATTAAATATTGGCTCCCTGCTCTCCTTTCCTACTTTCTCTCTTTCAAAGTGATTTTTATAATGTTTTTCTATTAGTGAATGCCGTATCTGATAAATAATATTTGTTAATGTGTTGTTATTCCATTACCTAAATTTTTGTCCTTTCTTTCCCTTTTACATATGAACCATTTTGCAAATCCACTCAGGGTGATGAAGAGGCCACTTTAGGCCTTCCTATCAGCCCATTCATGGACCGCTCTGCCCCCCAGCTTGCCAAACTACAACAGTCCTTCATCTCCCACATAGTGGGACCACTGTGCTCCTCCTACGACTCTGCTGCTCTGATGCCAGGACGCTGGGTGGACCCGTCTGAAGAGGCGGCTGAGCTGGATGCAGAAAAGGAAGGACAGGATACAGAGGAGGAGGAGGAGGAGGACACAGCGGATGAGGATGCCTCAACAGGTTCCAGTGCCTCCCATATGTCTGCCTCCAATTATCTAGTTGCTTTTCTTGTCATATGGGAACTTTGTATAAACAAATAATGATAAATTATTTAATCTTAGGTTAAGTCCAATTGTATGTGGTTATTATATGACTGAGAGAGCTAGGGATTTTGTAGACGGTATGTAAGTCCATGTTTGACCGTTTTCCTTTTGTTTTTATAGAGCATCAGGAAACAAAAAAGCTGCACAGACGGAAGGTCTTTTGTCAGATCACGCAACATCTTCTGGAAAACCACGAAATGTGGAAACGTGTCATTACAAGCGAAGCCTCTCCCGAGGAGACCCAAGAAGAAAATACCAACTGCTTAGGGAACCCCGTGGATTCAATCACAGCAATCCGCGAGGAGGAGGAGGAGCAGGCAAGCAAAGAAGAAGAGTCAGCCGACGACCCCGATGAAGGGGAAGAGGCAGCGGAGGAAGAGGAAGTCCTTCCACAATCAGAGACCTCAGGAGAAAAAGAGGAAGTTCCAGAATGAGATTATGGATTTGAACCTCCTCTTAAACCAGGAATCTTGACCATCCTTTGAAAATGTTTGATTCTTTCCTAACTAAACTCTTTGTACGGTAGCCAGCACATCACTTTTTGACACAACACTGTAGAAGATGTTTTGGGTAAAACGTGCCTAACAAAAACAGGGTCGAGGACTGGGATGATGCATGACCAGTATATCTGATAAGGAGATGAGCAAAAGAAGAAGAAATAAGAGAAACAGAGTAGTGATTACAAATAATGGACTCAGATTTTGTTTGGTTTTTTTAACTGTAGCACTTGTTTTACTGTGGATCTGGAATCCTGCCCTCACCCAGGCTGCCCCTGTGCACTAATGCATCAGCAACTGTTCTTCCAGAATCTCCCACTTTATTATCAGTCAGTGTAGCCCCCTCAGCTGGACAAAGGCGTGCAGCAAGCCCCTTCTTTAGGACAGTTGAATGAAAGTAAGCCTAAATCTGTTGTCGGACATTTGGAATAAAGAAGACCAGTTCGACACAATCACACTCACATTCCACGCTTCAAACAGAAAAAAAGTTAGAGAACCTTGTAGCTCCAAAAGCTTGATTTTAGCTCAAGGAAAACAATGTTTTAGCATTTATTTTCTCTCCCATTTTTTAAATATTTTTTTGGCTATTCAGTCCAAAAAGACACCAGACTGAACAACTCAGGAAAGCAGATTTAGAATAACAAAAGGACTTCTGACATCCTTGTCCTTTTATTTCGCTCTGCTTATTTTATTTTCTTTGTTTTCTGTCCTCTGAATACCCACAAATGTCGGGCTAGATTCCCATAACATGGCAGAAACCAAAATAGAGTAAAAGAAACGCTCATGTTGGTAGTTTGGTGAAATCTTTGAGAATGTAAAATAATCTGTTGTAGTGAATGCGGCTACTGCTAAGTTTCAGCTCAAAATCACCCAAGATTTACAGAAATAAGACCTGAAAGGCCTTTTGGCATCCAGGAGGCGCTGTGCACCTACAAGAAGTTGTTTAGATGTTAGATTTTAAAAAAAGGGTAGTCAAGCTTTTATTTTTATTTTCTTTATAAATTTAAAAGAAACAATAAAAAATATGTTAGGGAAACTTAAGTAGCATGTATATGTAGCCCTTTTCTCAATAGTAGCATGGAGAAAATGCAGAATAAGAGGTGTAAGCACTTTAAATTACAGCAACATTTTTATTTCAAGTTGACACAGATCCTGTAGGAGAAGGTTCTTCCATCCACACTTTACACTCTAAAAACTGCTGGGTTATAAACAACCTAATGAGCAATTATTTTGCTTTTAGTTAAAAATGCTGATGCCTTTAACAGCCTTGAGTTGATTTTAAAAAACAGGATAGAGCAATTGGTTTCATACTATTGAGTCAAATTTAGGGCTGGATAATTAATTGAATTTGCAATATATTTGCAGTTTAACAAAATACAATTTAACAAAATACACTTTTTTTTTCACTTTACAGCTAAAATGGGTTTGCTGCTACACAGAAGGGTTGGAGTTAGCAAGCAGATCCAAGTAACTTTAAGCCCTCGTCCACACAACAATAATGTGCTGTGTCTGTACTTTAAAAAAGGCAGCATTCAGGGTCATGGAAATATTGAAACTCTGTAGTGAAACATCTTCATGCATGTAGTTAGTGCAAAGAAAAATCTAAATGAAATTGCTGTATTGGTTGAAAAAAATCTCAATTTAGCTTTTTGGCAAAATGTTTCAACCCTAGTTAGGTTATAACATCATAAGATCTAACATCAATGCTTAAAAACATTAAACACAATTAAGCAAAGAACATTTGGTTAAAATGCATACATCTCCCGTGTCTCCGAACGCTATCTCTGCAGGAATTAATTGCATACCATCCTCCCATTAAATTTAACAAAATGGTTTGTTTTCATATTTATGTAATTCATTTTTTTCAATAATGTTGAAAGCTTGAGCTCATTGATAATATGTGTAACATACAAAGCAGTAGGATTTTTTAGAAACAGTTAATTTTTGCAGCACAAAGTTCAATCTCTGTATAAAACATTGCTTTAAAGCTAAGCATGAATGTTGAATATATTTATCACTAGGTTGCCTTACCTGGTAAAATTGGCTATCAGGTACAGATCAAATAAAATTTTAAAGCTTGATTAAGTTCAACTTATTTTCTGGTGTGAATTCAAACCCTAACAAAACCTACTGACATTAGCATTAGCATGCAACATGATCAGACTCCTATTTGATTCTCTTCCTCAAATCTCAGTTTTTCCATAAACCTCTGTCCAAACATGAGTCTGGCTTCAGAAGTTAAGAAATAACCCAGCAGTATTTTAAGTGTAACTATTAGGCGTGCACTGATTAAGGGTTTCTGGCTGATCACAGAGTGCTGATCTTTAAAAAGTATGACATTCCAATGTTGACGCTACAGATTTCTTTTTATAAAGGATCACAACACACAAGTTATTGAATCTTATCTTACTGGTAAAAAAAAAAATGCAATCATTGCCCGTGAAATAACTGCTCTGAAATATAAATTAAAGGTTAATGAATTGATAGTGGGTGGTTTTCAGAAATGTACAGTGGTAGATCAGATAGGAGCCAAAGATCTGTTTCACATGTAAGTATTAGCTGAATAACTGATCTCCCAAAATTATGAAAATCAGGGCAGGTCGATTGGCTGGCTGGACGATAAATCGGTGCACCCTTAGTAACCATCTTCCAACAAATTACCTGACAGGTAGTGTTCACGTTCTCCTTTGATGTCCTCACAGATTTATATTGGTGGTGATTGAGGAAACTGTGAACATGAGGAAAAGCCCCAAGTAATGAGGCTTAAGGCTGATTTATACTCAGAAACCAGGTTGTCTGCGTGTGTCGCAGTGAATGCCCGCCCCGCCGACACTGTGCTGCATCTCTCCAGAATTGTAGGTGACCGCAGACAGAAGGCCTCTGATTGGTCAAATCTACATCCGCTCTACTCATGCGTATTTCCTGTTTGTTACCTTACCGGCTTGTTGTGTTTGTATGACCGCCATTGCGGAAAACAGCTCGTGAAGTTGGACCAGCTAGAATAGCGAGGTGCGTGAGAACGCTGGGACCCTTTTTCCACCTGGATCTCTGCTCTTTTTCACCCTCATGTCCCTCCATTGTCGTACAAACTTGCCCCGGCTTCCTCACCACCTCAGCCGTGTCTAGACCCACACCTAGTTTGTGATTATCCATCTTGCGTTGTGGCGTGGAATAACATAGCAGAGACCACGTTTCAATATTGGGCATAAATCAAAAATATCTGCGACAAGCTCACTGAGACACACTGGTGCGAAGTATAACCAGCCCTTTAGCGAGGAACAGCGGTGGATACATGAGAAGGGAGGAGAACCTTTTAGCATTACATGTAGTTTTCCTTGAAGGGTTTTTGGTAGATTTCAAAATGGAGCAGATTCTTCCAGATGAAGACATTCATTGACATTGTACTGTATTTACACCGACATGAGAAGAGCATCATAGGATGTTTAAGGCTGCTTAGTGTCTTAACCAGCATAACTGCAACAGGTGGCTTCCATCAGATTCATTATTACAACTGAAAGACTTTATTAACACTCTGTGAGAGCTTCAGACCAATAGACAGAAAGTGATTATATATATACACCTTAAGAGGTACAGCTGATTAATTGTTTAATAGCCCTAGTTATCAATCAACCAGTTGCTGAAGTTTAAACTGGGCATTAGAATTTGGAAAAATACATGTTTGTTTGTTCTAGACTTGATTTTAAAAACTGCTGATCCACTTGTGTTCTTAGAGACTAATACCTGTAGGATTTCCAGAGACTGGTCTGAAAACACGAGAGCTACAATCCAGGTGATGGTTTCTGTGTGAGTGAAAATGCCTTGTTGAAATCACAGGAGAATGAGCAGATTGGTTGGAGATAACAGAGAGGCAGTAGTCACTCAATCAACAAGGGAATGAGAATGTAAAACATGGGAAACCTTGAAGCAGATGGAACAAGTAGAATAAGGCTATGCATGGAGCTATTCCTATCAGCTATGAGCAGAAAGCTGAGACTAGGCACAGGCTCACTGTAACATGAGAATAGTAGATAAACAAATGTTCCCCTATCAGATGAGAGTTGATCCCTGGACCTATTTTCAGATGAAAAGGATATATTTAGTGATAAAAACAATCAATCCATCCTTCCTGGTATCAGATGTTCAGGCTGCTGCTGGTAATATGTGATGTGTTGGATCTCTATGTTAGGGTGATGGATGTGCAGCAGCTTTAGATGCTATCATATCATGTTTCTGACACTTTATTTAATCCATATTTGATTTACGGCTGTTCTAAAAGTAAAAACGGATGTATATCATAAGTCCTAACAAGTTGTACCTAACACTGAGAGGAAGAACAATTGTATGAGATCTAAAGCAATCCAACAGCAGGTAGTTTCCTTCTGTAAGAGGAGCAAGATGACAGCTTATAAGTGAGTATGGATGGTTGGAGCTCCTGTGGCTCTCATGTAGCGGGTGTGTTGCTGGGTAACTATTGATCAGTAATAACCACCTCACATACACTCATATGTGCCCTTTATGCAATCAAGCGGACCATTTTTTTTAAAATACCCTGGATGAAAAAACTAACAAAACAACTTTATCCAGCCTGTATAACAATCTTATTTGGTGTGACACAATTTCTTTACTCAATTGCCGTTTGCTAATACTGTTGTAATACTGCATAAATATTTAGCTGTATCACTTGCACAGTTATCAGAATGCCCATTGTTGCACAAGACGGCTAAACTGTACAACATAATACCCTTGGCTACTTATTGGCACTTTGTAACTAACAGATGCATTACTGCGAAATTCGGAATCAAACCAACTGTTTATTGTCAAAAGATTTGGGTGTGGATTTTTTTATGTCAGCCTTCTAGAAGTTCAAAGAACAAGGCACCATTAAAACAAGTGACATGAGGTAATCAGGTCAAATCACTGAAATCAACTGAAATCTCTAATTGAGATAAATATGAGCTTGAGCCTGAAAAAGGCTGATGAACCATCCTATAAGGGTTTGTCTTTACAATGCCAAAAAATGCACATTAAGATTCCCTAAAACATATCTTATGTCTAAATCTATAGGTTTATCCATATGAAGAGGAACCTTTTAAACTTGAAAACACAAAACTGCAGAAAAATTACATTTCACAGTGCTTCATACAGTATATTATAAAGTTCCCATGCATTTCTCTAAATCCATAACCACCCATTTTTTTATATTCTGCCACTATATTTTTGTGAAGACATGACATAGCCCCCAGTGTTTGAGACTTCATCAAAGTCCAAACAAAAATCCTTCCCCTCTAACTATAAAGTACAGTGCAACAATCAAAGACACACGAACCAAACAAAGCTGTTATTGATTTTATGGGTTTCTAGATGAAGAACACAGATGTATGTTTTCCCAGGGCACGTTCTTTTTATCCAACATTATGTATAGATTTCAGTCTGGGAAATCAAATCCTGTCTGTTTTTAGCTCAAGTCCTCAGAGGCTCAAACAGTGCACTGTGAAAAAGTATTTATCTCCTTGAAAATTTGTGCTGCATGCTGGACTAAGGTCTTTTAAATCATCCCTATCACACAGAAATAGTCTAAAAGCATAATGCAGTTTTAAAATGATGATTTAATGAAGGACGATTAGCCAATCCAACCTGGCCCTTGAGTGAAAAAGAAAACGCCCCCTAAACATATCATTCATTACACCCTGTGTAAAACAACTGCCATGAAACTTCAGAAATAATCACATTAGATAGTTTTCAGTCTTAGCAAAATGTGCCTAAAGGTCATGACACAATAGTTTTTACAAGGCCACACCTCTATCTTTTTTTCTTTTCTTTCAGACTGTTACCCACCATGCAGAAATAGGTTGAAAAGACATTATTTACGTCCAAACGACGTTTATATCTGGTTTAAATGTGAAAGGTGAAAAGCGTTAATTTGCAGAAAAGACTTTGAAAAATGGTTTTGCAAAATCATTTCAACACCTATTTTTGGACTAAATTGGGACAAAATTAGACTGACCAAACATAGCCTAAATTTTAACAACTATTTCTGGACTAAATCAAGACTATGACAGACTGACGTCTAAATGATGTCTGGTGTTTGTGGGGTTTACAGCTGGACTTGTGGTGTGCTTTGAATAATGATAGTCCAAATATTAGCCAAGTTAGCTGTACCATAAGATCCAATGGAAAAACATTCCATTTAGAAGGTCTGGGTAGAAATGAGAATTTATGAATCCATCTAGTTGTCCAGGCAACAAAATCATCCACACCATTATACTAACACCAGAAAATTCCACTTTTAGGTTGTCATGGCTCAGAATATATATTTATCTGTCCTATTAGAGAAACGTCTGTAGACCGGTCACTATGTTTTGCTGTGTAACCTTCTCCAGACTCATGGATGTAGACTCTTGATTTTCTAGATCAGTGCATGATGTCTTGCTTCTTTTAGATCTTTTACCTTATGTTGGTAGACCAATTCTACTGAACTCATTACTTAGTTTCTAAGGTCTAACAGTAATCAGGCAAGGGGGGTTTTCTAGAGAAGCAGAAAAAAAAATATTTATTTATTTTACTTAAACATTTAAAAAAAGAAGCAATGACTTCTGTCATAAGGCCATTTTTCTGTCCAGTGTCATCATTTTAGATTTGCTTTGTTTACGTTTGTCTTATTTTTTAACTGATTCTATGATTTGTTATCTAAAAAAGAGCAAAGAAGAAAATAAGAGATAAATACTTCTTAAATGCACTGCGGATATGCTCGAAGAAAAGTTTGCAAATTAGCTTCACCAAAACGAAGTTATAATCATATTAGAGCTAATTGTGCGTTACATTTTTTAAAACTGTTTGACCCTTTTTTTTTTTTTTTTTTTGAAAACCTTAGACTTACAGGCGTATTGCTATATGATGTTAAATGCATGAAGTTGATGGATTTGAGCATCATATATTCTCCCTGTTGTTAATGTTATCCTATTTTCTAGTTTTCAATTATGATGTGCACCTAGTGGAGCCATCTGGCTAAAACGTATATAATAGGGACAGAAATTACACCTAGAATGCAGCCAATTGATAATATAGAAGTACATTTCATTAACTTCTCAGCCCTATTTGAGTCTTACCCTGTCCACATCTGATATGTGAAAAATTAGCCTAAAGAGGAAATGACGAACCAGAGAATGTGTGGTGAGTGAGAGGCAGGCTGGTAAGGTGAATACATTTTTAGCACATATCTAAAAGCTAAAACAATAGATTGCCAGTATCAATATAAAAAGCCCAATGCTCATTATTACTGCTTAAAATCAATTTAGAGGCATGTACAAAACGGAGTTGCAGAGCTACTGATATCAGTTTTTTCTGGCTGACCTTATAATATCTTTGGAGCCAATACTGATTTAAAACTCAAATGTAGTACACTTCTCAAACACTAGGAAGGAACCATTTTCGTGTTGTAAAACTAA